AGTGTCATGGTGCCCCCCCGGCGCTTCACGTGCCGCTCTCCAGCATGCGCCTCTTACCCACGAATAAAGGCGCAATTCGAACCCAAATGGAGTTTTCTCTTTTACTTATGCTTATTTCCACGCCCGGAGCCCAGCGGTGCCAGGAGAGCAGGTGAGGTGGCGGGATGGCCGGCCGGGATGAGCTCCCACACGCCGCCTTGGGCTCCCCTAGTTCCTTAACCCCCAGCAGCTGCCTTTGGAATTAACGTTTTCAGGCGCTGCCTGCAGGGACCCGGTGGTTTCTCCGGTTCTGGGGTGCGTGGAGGCCCCTCGGGCCGGTGACGCCTCCAGGTTCACCTGTGCCCAGGTGTGTGAGCACAGGCGGAGCGGGAGCCCGGCGGCCTGTGCCCGATTTCCTCCAAAGCGGCTGTTTTTGCCCCAAAGCCTGTGTGCAAATCCCCATGAAGAGTCGCCTCCGTGTCCCTCGGACGTGTGCGGAGATGCGGCCGCTGCCCGAGGCTTCGCGGATGCCGGGGAGATGTTTGGTGCCCCCTTCTCTGTCCCCCTTTGCCTTCTCGGTGTCCCTTCTGCTTCCCGACTGCCTGGGCGCCTTTCGTGCACCAGGAACACGCTTGGACTGCTGGAAACTAAACATCAAGCTGTTTTTCTTTCTATTTTTCTGGCTTTTTTCTGTCTTGTTTGTTTTAGCAGGATATGCTGAGTGCTTCCTTTTCGTGTTGACCTTGCCAGAGGCGGGGGACCGGAGGGAGGGCTTGACCTGCTGATAGTGCTGATGGCCAGGGCTTGGCAGCAGCTGTGTTGCAACGTGATAAATTGGCAAAATTAAACGAGGGTCGAGCCCCAGTTCTGGGAATTTTGCCTTTGCAGAGGGACAATGCTCCCGTAGCCCTGTCGGAGTTGTTTTTCCAGGCTCAGAAGAGCAGATTTCCACCCACAAATGGCTCGGAGAGTCTCCCTTACCGCTCCTTGCAGAGCTGAGCTTGCACCTCTTGGCATCCCTTGGGAACACGCGCAGGCCTCAGGTTGTCCCATGTGCATCCCTAGTCAGGGAGCCTCCAAACCCAGCCTTATCCCATTGTACACTTGTTTGTTGAACGTGCTTCCATATTTTTGGAGAGAGCTGCACGTGCATGTATATGCATATATGCGTGAATCTGAGTCTGTGCATATATATTTATAAATATACATATATATATATATAGTGTCTGGGGGAGTGGAGAGGAGCAGTTTTGTGATCTAGATCTCTTATCATCATTGACACTCATGCTTATTACACTTGTGACCTCTAATGATGGCCAGCAAAGGCCCTGCTTTGAACTGGGGCCCATTGCTGCGGCTACAGGGGTGAAATAGCCACCTGCAAGGGAACTAGATAATTTTGTCGTTTCATTTTGTTTCCAGAGAGCCTGGTCGCTCTCCACGCTCTTCTCCTCGGTGTCCTTTTGCTGAGCATTTCCAGGGGAATGTGTCGTGCGGATTCGGCCTCGAAACGCTTGCTTAGGGTGGCAGATTTCCCCCTGGATTTTGATGATCTTGCTTTTCCCGTTCTGCAGGTTGTAAATGCTTGGCAAGAAATGATTTTGGAGTCGTAATTCGCTCTTACTGCTTCTGCTGGGGGCCTTGGTTGCAGGAGAGCCGTCGTGATGCTGGGTGATGAGTCTCAAACACCGAGATGCACTTGAGTTTGGAAAGGAAAAATAGAAAGGAACGTTGATTTTTGGTTAAAGAATTCTGTAACCTTGTAGTGTGAAATGTGTCTTTAAATGGTGCCCATGTCTTCGAAGTATTTGTTTGAGAAATACAGTGTTTGCCTTAGAAAGCAAGTGATGATCTTGTTATGTTTAAATTATTTTGTGTTGGTTCCGTTATTGCCTTTTTTCCTTGGTAATTTGCTCTAGCTGCATTTCTCCTGAGGTCTCCTTTGGTGGGAATGCTCTTTTGGGTGTCTGCTGTGTGCCAATTACATAGCTTACTAAAATAATGCCTCAATATTGATGCAAGCTTTGAAAAAAACCCCAAAGTCTCTAACTAAATTGTAAATAAATATTATCAAAACAAAAAATCATTTCTATTGTGCTCCCTCCTTAATGCATTTCAATAATGATATGTTGCTCTGCACTCATTTCAAATCCATCTGTCTGGAGAGCTCAGCTCCTTCAGCCGCATTTTTTAACATCTTTATGTATACCCAAAGAAAGTTCTGGAGACTGGGTTTTATAAATACACCACTGCCATCCTTTTTTTTGATTTGTTTGTGTGTCTGAGCAGAGGAACGGAATCGTGAGACATGAGAGACTTTTGATTTTAGTGATTCTGCAGGGAAAACTTACTCCAGTTAAAGTCAGACTTGCTATTATTTTTTTCCAATTTTTGTTCAGACTAAACTGCTATTTTGGTCTTCTTTTATCTTGGTAGAAGCATTTCAGCCTTGCGGGCTTAGGACCTTCATAGTCCTGCTTTTAGGTTGGTGTGACGCTCCGAAGGGCCAGTCCAGGGTGCCCAAGTAATCCCAGTGCTGCCTGTTCCACCCAACCCTTTATAGCCAGGGAGCTGAAGACCTTGGAAAGCAGCACGTGTGTCTAGCCGTTTCTCCAACCTAAGTGCTTTTTGGTGACGCATGCTGAGAAAAATGCTCCTGTGGTTCTGTGCCTCAGGCTGCAAAAACTTCTAGGTGCTTGGGTGGGACCAGCCACCGTGTTCCTTGCTCCCGTGGCAGCTGCTCCCTTCCTGTGGCTCTGGATGTCAGTGCTGGGACTATCCGACCCCATGAAGGTCCACGAGTCCCATTGGAAGCCGGGTGCAAAGTCCTGAGGTGTCCCAGCAGCTGCAGCCTTGGTGGCCCTGCCCGAGTTTGCTGCCTGCTGCCCACATGGTGCAACGAGCCCCAACGCACGAGCTTGGGAAGAGATGCTCGTGGTGTCCCCGTGAAGGCGGGAGCTGAGTCCTGAGGATCTTCTCCCAAAAGTGTGAGCAGAAGCCCGTCCATCCCCCACTGCAGGAGGACTCCTGGAAAAACTCTTGTTTCTTCCCGATGAATGTCTGGCTTGGGACTGGTGGTTGGCAGAGTCGCGCTGTTCGTTCCTGGGGCTTGCCTGCTCCCTGCATGGCAGTCCCCTTCTGAGGGGACAGTTTAGCTTTCAGGAGGGCTTCTCTTCTTCCTCATAATCTGCAGAGACATCTGTAATTACAGCTGGTAACTAAGGCAATCCCACGCTATGGATCATTCATGCCTGCAGCAGCGTGGTGGGTTACAGGGTCTGCAAATACCTTCCTGCGTGCTGCTGCATGGCCGGAGCCGCTGACGTTGGAGCTGGGGTGGAAGGAGGCCCGTGCGGGAGGAGGTGCCCGTGACAAGTTGGTCCTCAGCCACTTGGCTTATCTCGGGAGAACCCCGCAGTGCCCCTAATGAGATTGTTAATGTGACCCAGGGACACTCCAAGGTTCATCCCTTTGGTCGCTGCGTGGCCTTGGGTGGCCCCGGAGTAGAACAAATCGCTGCTGGCACCTGGGTAGCAAGTGGAGGAGCAGAGGACATTGCTGTCCTGGCGTGAAGATGCACAGGGGAAAGTGTCCGACTGCAGAGCACGGGGACCTTGTGTGTCCTGGTGTTCCCGCCATACCTTTGAGTAGAGCTGTGTCCTTTCTGTCTTCCTGTTTGTAACTGTAGGAAAATAATGGAGTCATTCCTAAGCAGAACAATTCCTAGTGCTGTAGGAAAAAAAAGCTCAGAAGAGTGTTGTGCAATTAATTACTTGCATCTTCTCGGGGTAGCTTTTGCTTTGCACCAAATTACGTTTCCTTGAATCATTCAGGTCCTTGCGTTTTTATGGTGGAAACGTGTTGGTGGTAGTGGAGGGCGTGTGGATGCTGGTGAGAAATCCCTCTTGCAGATGAAGCCATCCCTGCTGCTTTGATGGGACAAAAATCTAGGGAAGCTGAGGCGGTCTGAAAGAGGACTTAAAGGCTCCTATTATTTTCTTTAATAAGGTATTTTTTCCGGAGTCATTTGGAAAAACTTTAAATAGCATTCCCTGAGTTTTTCTGAATCTAGTTGCATACCAGACTGCGTGCAGAAATTTACGGTGAGCCTTTAGGTATTTGGTAAGACTTAAATCCCCCTCTGTTAATGAGTGCGAGAGGGTCTTTTTGGGTGCTTTTTAGGTAAAGTTACTCCTTGTGCTCTTCGGTATCTATCCATCTTAAAAAAGAAAAAAAAAAAAAAACCCAAAGCAATGTTTTAGCTTTCAAAGCATTGGCTTATTTGCGAAACCTCACAATATTTATTTGTTGGCACCCACTGATTTGGGCTCCTGTGAGGTCCGCCTTGGAACGGGAGGGCAAGCAGCAGGTCGCTGCCATCCGCAGCCCCATGTGCGGGTGTCTGCAGCCTCCCTCTTTTGCTTTCGCTCTTTTCTTTTTTTCTTCTTTTTGCTGCCTTCTCGTAGGGGTTTCAGCTCCGTGCACCCAAAGTTCAGAGGATCTGCGGGCGCTTTCGGAGCCGCGTTTGGCGCTGCCGCGTCCCGCCGGCTGGGCGAGGATGCATCGACCTCGCGGGGACGCTCGGCGCCTCGGGCACCCGCTGGCCTCGTTAATGCAGCCCTTAATTGTGTGCCTCTGATTGTGCTTCACCTATAGAGTGTGTGGCCCTCACGGGAAAGGCTTGCTTAGTAATTCCTTCTGCGTGTTTGGGTGACATTCAATAGGCCTGTTTCTAGCTGGGGAATGCGATGGAGCCCCAGCAAAGCTGACGCCCTGACAGCCGTGCGGGTGCTGTTAAAAGTCCTTTTTGGTTTTGCTTTTAAAAGTCCTTTTTGGATTCGCCTCTGCAGAAGAGGATACAAGTCCTGCATTCGTACGCTTGCATCTTGTGGGTGGGAATGCGAAAGCTAAATTTCTCGTGGTGCTTTTATGGCTTATTTTATTTTTTTAGTGTTATTTAATCAGCTTTCTGCTCTCCTTTTAATTTTTCCTTCCTGTCTTGCCCCTTTCTCAGTGTAAAGCAGAGTTCCCGGTCCTCCGAGGCGGCCGAAGAGGAGAAGGAGCCGCGCACGGTGACGGTCAACCCCTCGCACATGAGGAAGGCCTTCAAGGTCATGAACGAGTTACGGAGGTAGGAACGTGGCAGAACCCGGGCCACCTCTGTCCCAACTGATGGTTGCACGGGAATTGCTATAGACATTAGGAAGGGGCAGTGAAAACACAACATTTGGGCTGAAGGGGAGCCCTGGGATGCATCTGCGTGACGGGGTGGGCACAGGGAGAAGGAAGGTTGACAAAATCTCCATGAATGCAGTGAGTACCAGCTGCGGGCCGGCAGTGGTTAAACTCAAGCTGTGTCATGGCTCTTGGCCCTTGAGCCACAGAGATGTCTAGTGGATTATTTTCCCACCAGTTCGTTTGAGCCCTTTGCCATTGGAACAGAGATTTGACCCAATTTTCAAAGGAATCCCTATATTCCCAATATCACACAGGTGCTCCTCACTACACAGATGCTATGGTGAAAGCAGGTAACACGTTTTGCTCTTTCCTGCATGTCCTAAGCACTCGAAAGATGCTGCAGGAGCCACCTCTCTTCTGCAGATAGGGATTTGCAGAACGGCACCTTGTACAGCACAGCAGGGGTATCGGAAACACCTCCCTGTGCAGGTGTTTGACAGGGGTTCTCAGGTGATGCATAAGGAGCAGAAAATGGAAGTGTCCTTCCCTTGTAGCAATCGCACGAAGCCGAATGTTTTCTTCATGGCTTCCCTCTGCTCCTCCTTGTACTGACAGCGAAAGATCTGAAAAGAGAGGTATTTTTTTTTCAGCTATCTTCAGAAATCCTTTGTGCTCCTGTTATTCCGTTGTTAATTGAAGCATGGTGGGAGTAGCTGGAGCCTGGCAGCGTGTCTGTATTTCGCTAGCACTTGTGCAGCGCTGAAATGCTGAAATGCATAAGGTTGAAGCTGCCCTAAAGCACCTGTTTATTGTTAGATTGTATTTTATTTTTTACCCCCTGCCCTGGGTGCACTTCTTTTCTCAGCTTCTGCTGCTGTTCTGGAATATGCAGTTCCCATGTCCTCATGCATTGTGCGCTGAGCCTGGCAATCAGTTAAGCTGTCAGCAATCAGTGTTAATAGCTACCTTGAATAACTGTGCCTCCGTTTAATGCCTTCAGAAGGTCTAGAAAAATCTTGCTAAGGGCTTGCTGTAGGTTGGTCACTTGAAGTGTTTGACTTCCAAATATAAATCAAATTAGTTTTCATGAAAAGCAATTCAGATGAATATAGATAAGCTGGAGGGAGTGAGAAGGCCTCTGTTAAGTGACCATTTAAAAACTCCCCTGCTTCTGCCCTCCATTCCCCACTTGAGTAAGTGCAGAGCACAGACCTCCTGCTTATTTTTTTCCCTGTTTTCCAACTTTAGCCCTTTGTTTCACAAACAATTTGTTTATGTATTTAAATGCATAGAGGAGAGCAGGGAGACATACCTAGTCCCTTAGAAACTCTGTGTGGATTTATTTCATACGCAGTTTCCTACAGAAAAAAACTGCAGCATTGTGATAAGCAATTCTAAAGGGAAGGCAACATCTCGATTTGTCGACTCTGATCCTTTTTTCTTTTTTTTTTTTTTCCAAGCTTGACATTTGAAATGAAAACACCCTCGTTTTGCATTTGTGTGCTCAGAGATCTTAAACCAACTTATTGGGAGGCTGAGCACTTCTAGCCGTCTGCGTCTCAGCAGTCCTGTGCAAACATTAACTAATGAATCCTCAAAGGACATAACACGGGGCTGCTGGAAAAGGTCACTGATTAATGAAGTGGCTTTGCCCAAGCTGAGCAGTGAGTCCGTGGGGGAGCTCAGAAGGGTTTTGGTTTCTGTCGGGAACTCCTCAGTTTATCTTGGTGGCTCTTAATCCCAGCTGAATTCATGTACTAAACTTAAGGTTCATCAGGACCCCCGATAAACTCTAGTGCTTGGCTGCTCCTTGTGGGCAGAACGATGGGGAAGCCCTTTGTGCCAGGCAGGACACGACAGAAGTTCTGGGGGCAAATGTTTCTTTCTCTACCAAGCCTGGTGGAGAAGAAAGCTCCGAGAGCCCTTCTTTTTCTGTTCTACCTTTCTGAACACTGTATAAAGATCAAAGCACTGTTTTTTCCTTCGTATCACTGGCCATATCTTGCTCTAGAGATCTACCAGGACTTCTGCAAGGTAACACCCAGGCTCTTGAGCTTTTCTGCACCTTCTTGGAGCCCTGCTCTTTTGATCTTTGCCATCCTCTGCTCTTTGCATGTGTGTCTAGTTCAGCTTCCAGATTTTTTATGCTGAATCAGAACAGCTAGAGGCCTGCAGCAAGCAGGGCTGCAACACAAAGAGGATGCAGGAGGATGCCGGTTACCAGATGAAGGAGATGAGAACCTTCCACTGGGTTTTGGCAGAAACCTCTTGGCTACCTTCTCTGAAGTGGCTGGATTTTTGGGGCTGCTCTTTCAGGCTGTGCTGCCATAGTTTTTTGCATGACCAGGAGTTCTGAAATGACCCTCTGTTTTTTCCGGTGTCTTTGCAGCAAGCGGCTCCTCTGTGACGTGGTGATTGTGGCCGAAGCAGTGGAGATGGAAGCCCACCGCGTGGTCCTTGCCGCCTGCAGCCCCTATTTTTGTGCCATGTTTACAGGTACTCTTCCCAATGGCTGTCACCGCACTCAGGCTGAGCGGATTTTGGGAGACTCCTGGCCTCCCTGTGGAAGCACCTGCAGCAGAGGATGTGGCTTGGGCCTCTAGAGAGGGTTTACATGGGAATGAAGGAACAGAGCTAGACTTGCAGTTTGTTGTGCTTGATGGATGATCGTTGTCATCTTTTGGCATATTTCTTTGAGGCAGTGCCAATGAGGCAGTGTTATGGGGATGAGGGAGTCTGTAGCATGTGGGTCACAGAACTTAGGACAACTATGAGACTTGTCCTTTTTTTGTTTGTTTTTTCTTTCTTTCTTTGCTCACAAAGAATGGAAACTCATGAAAACCCACGCTGTTAATATCAAGCACGTGTGCCTTGCCCTAGATGCTCATGGTGCGCATTAAAAAAGTGCCTGGCACGGGAGCTGCAGTTGCAAGGCTCAGCCCTGCAGATGCTTATTCACAGTCATGGATCTTTGATCTCCCATAGCACTTATTTTGCTACTGCCCGAAATAACACTGCTCTTCTCTTGGCCCCGTTGTGCATCACTGACTCTCCCTCTCTTGCAGCCCTCTATGTGCTCATGGCAGATGCAACCCTGGTGTGAAGGGAAGAGGAGGACAAGATTTGTGTTCTGATCATAGGGTCCTTATGGGGGATGCTCTTCAGAGGCTGTGTAGTCAAAAGAGCAGTGTTGGTACCAAGGAATGACCTAGCAAACTTTGTCCGCTTGGCAGCTCTGTAACTTCCTTTTCTTTTCCTTGTCCTCCTTCCAAGGAGGGGAGCTAATGTAACTAGATACAGATAATATAAATGTGCCTGTGTGAGTCCCTCAGCTCCAGCCTGATGCATGGCTGGGCATCAGTAGGATTTTGCTCTGATTTCATGTCTCTGGATCAGTGTGGCCAAGGGATGGAGGGAAGCTCTTGCAAAGAGACTCAGGAGCTGTGTGGATTCTTCCTTTAAAAGCTTTGGGGTTAGGCCAGGTTTAATTTACTTCCCTGGGAGCAGAATGCAGTATTTCTTAGGGAAAAGCTTGTCATTTGGAAGTCATC